ACAAATCTTAGCAGGGTTTGAAATCTCTTACTCGGCCAATATTAAAGCATCGGTTCTAGCTCGCCATGCAGCTGCTGGTAATTATTACTGCAGAGATAATGTCGTGGGGAATTGTTATGAAATTCAAAAGAATGTGCAGCTACGAACACATTAAGTAGCACGGATGATAAAACCATAGATGAAAAAATATTAATGGGGATAATATTGTGAGTTATTCTTATTTTCTTCTGTGGTTTTCTCTCTCTTTGTAGCCATTCAGTCAGCGATTATTATTAGTCAGATTGACACAGGGTGGAAGATCAGACCCGCAACATCCCAACCTATCCACAGTCGCACGTGTGCCAATAGACAAACCAGCCTTGCAGAGGGGTCAAGGATGGTTCTGCTCTTTTCAGGGACTCTTGCTCTCCAGGGTCACTTGGGTTGCAACAGGAATACAGAAAAGCACTCTTGAGGATGGAACTGGGCTCTGCGCTAGGTTCTGTGACTTCCATGTCCAATGTCATAGGTCCTTTACACGGCTCCTCTGTGAGATGCTCAGGCTCTTGCTGGGTCACGCTGTTCTCTAACATTTACCCTGGTAGAGAACAAATCTACATTCTATCTGCCAACTGATCATCAATGCTGATCTTGCTCCTCTGTCTCTACCCCTCTTCTCCAGTCATGGAAGGGAGGGAGGGAGACAGTCACCAGCCCACACTGTATCTCCATCAAGTAACAGAAGGGGACAGGCTTCAGAGCAAAGACTACCTCCACATCCAAAGCCTGTCAAAAAGCCGCTGGGTTACTAACAAACATATTAAGGGAAATGAAAAATCAAGCTACACTGCACATTGGCGTGGGATAAAGGGATGTTTTGTCCCCACTAATTGGGGCCTACGTTCAGAAACAGTACCACCATTTTGTATGCACAGATGTGTAGATACCTTCATATCATCCGTTGCCTAGAGCCCCAGATGCCCGGGCTTTGGTACCAGATTTGCTCAATCACTTGTCTGTGGTTTCAGTCTTCTCCATTGTTAAGAAGAGATGGACCGGGAGCTGGAGAGGTGATGGCTCAGCAGTTAAGAGAGCTGGCTGCTCTTTAGAGAACCCAAGCTCAGATCCCAGGATGTGCATAGTAGTAGTCTACAGAGATCTCTAAGTCCAGCTCCAGAGTCCAGCCCCTCGGGCCTGAGGACAGCTGTACTCAAATGCATATGCCCACATAATTACACCTACACATCACAAAAGGTACAAAAGTCAATATTGTTTTAATGACTAGGTGTGTGTGTGTGTGTGTGTGTGTACATGTATGCCCTTGGTATGGGGGGATGTAACACGGCCTGGGGACATCCGTGGTTACAGGGCTTTCATTTCCCTGCAAGCATGAAGATCAAAGTCTGGATTCCTAGAACCCACATATATGTCAAACAACAGGTGACATGAGGTGGCTGGCCTGTAATTCTAGCCTAGGAAGGTGGAGACGGGAGGCTCTTTAGAGCAAGCTCTGGGCTCCTCTGAGAAACCCTACCCCAAGGAGTAATGTGAAGGAATTGTGTGTATGGTTCTCAAACACACACACACACAAACACACACGTACACACAAGGGTAGTGTCCATCAGTAAGTCTCCATGTGTACATGCACCTACATGCATGCACACCTACTCATGTGTGATGAAACACATGCAATCATGCTCCCCACACACACATTCATGCATAAAAATGACAGAAAATATTTCAGGCACAGTCCAAGGCAAACCCCCTTTGTATTAGGTACAAAATTAACAGTGATGGGAAGCAAAGCCTCTACACGTCCATCAGAGGATGGTGTAAGTAAGAGTAAAGCCAGTGCATTGGCAGGAACCAATGGGCAGAACGCCTCTTCCAGGCCTGCTTATGCAGATCCATGCCACCATCAGTCAAGACCCTGGCAGTCCAGCTATCATCTGTTGTCTCCCACCACATCCCGCCCTGGAACCTGGACAGCTCTTCTGTTGGCCTTTCCTGAGACACCCTCAGCCAGGCCACAGTCTGCAAAGGTTACAGCAGCACAAGCAGGACCGGGCGCATGATCATGACTCTAGGGGAGTGGTCCCCTCCCCTGCACTACAGATCCAAGGAGGACAAGTGGGGAACTGGCCAGGCTCCACACCACAAAAGAAACAGGACGGTAATGTCCACCCCTTGGTCTGACTGGGACCATCTTGTTATGCTCATAGAAACAAGAACTCCGCCCACCCGTGGCAGCCACTCTTGCATCGCTAGACAAAAGGCAGAGGCAAACAGGCTGTGTGAGAGAAGCAGGCGAGGAGATAAACAGCCTAGATCAACAGTTGTTCAATTATCAGAACTGGGTCATCTCAACTCAGGCAGAAGTGCTGTGCCAACCACCGCACAGACAAACAACAGAGCCTCTAAGAGGTCCACGCCCCAGGGCAGCCTCCTCAGCTGCCTGGCCAAATCTGGCAGATTTGGGGGAAAGACAGCTGTTAGCCACGTGAATTAGCTGCTGGCCTCAGAACCTGCCGAGAAGGCCGAGCACAGAGAGAGCTTCCCAAAGCCAGGCCATGCCTCCTGTCGCTTCCTGCAGAACTGTCACAATGTGGCACCCAAATCTTCTGCACCGCAAAATAAAACACAGACACACACACAGCACACAACTCATTCTCTCGGGCCCTAAGTGAGTTTCGTGTCGGCTCTTCACAATTCTCTCAGACGGAAAGCTTGACCACATATACTCACCTACTCATGCACGTATGTGTTCAGACATTTGCACACTCATATATAACACACTCATAAATATGTGCGCCCAGGCAGGCACACAAGTTCACACAATCACCTATGCAGAAACACACACCAATACATACTCCCCCTTGTGTGCAGACTTGCATATACGCTCTCACGTGCACAAACACATGGACTTGTGTAAATGCACACACATGCTCACACTCAGTCTCACACTCACCCTCATGCACACATATCTGCTATAGTGCTTTCCAAATGCCAGACAACGGGCCAGTCCCTGGTGACCCCAACAAGCAGAGTGGCGGATGAGAAGTTCAAAAATCTGGCTTCTACATTGAGTTGATTTCCTTTTTTTTTTTTTTTTTTTTTTTTTTTTGGTTTTTCGAGACAGGGTTTCTCTGTGGTTTTGGAGCCTGTCCTGGAACTAGCTCTTGTAGACCAGGCTGGTCTCGAACTCACAGAGATCCGCCTGCCTCTGCCTCCCAAGTGCTGGGATTAAAGGCGTGCGCCCTGTGAGACCTGCCCTTTTCAGAAGAGAAAGGAGGAAGAGAGGATGTTGGGGAGGGGTGCTTGGAAGAATTAATTTATGTCCCCATAAACGAGAGCTCAGGTTGGGGACTTCCAGTTCAGGGTTCCTCCTCTAGACCTCTTGACCCCTTACCCATTTAACGTACTTTCTGAGTTGCATGTGTGTATCCATCCTCTTAACTGTCTGTGCCCAGAGCGTGACAAGACCAGCATGGATGCCTTCAGGATGCTCTCATTTCCATGAAGGAGATAAGGTGCCAGGGAATAGAAGTGACATTCAGGAAACCACCTGACTTCTCCACAGGACAGACTCCTCTCTGGGGGACCCTGGGGGTGTCTCAAGGCCAAGGGAAAGAAGTTCTCTCCTATGGACATAGAGCAAGAAGAGGGGAGCTTGGCCCTGGTACTGTGAAGTGTTGGGAGCAGTGAGACCCCAGATCCTGAATTTTTTTGTAATCCCCTGATCTGAGTGCCTACAGCTGCTCTGAGCACGAGACCTTCAGGAGTTCCTGATGGCAGGAGAGTGGTTTCTGGTGGGTTTGGCTGGGGCGTGGCTATCTCTAAATAATCTGCCCCTGAACACAATAAAGGGGGCATTCTTGGGGAATTCAGGGATGATCCGTGTCTCTGTCTCTCTGTCTGTGTATTTTAACCTCCAGCCCCCTTGCCCAAAACTCGCGAACTGGGTAATAGCGCACCGAGAGCAGACACGGGGGCGCGGTGCACGGCAGTGAAGCCTGGTACCATGCTTGGCTCCTCGCTCTTGCCGCCTGTTATTAAAGCTGATTGACTAAGCTGCTGCCCTTGATTGTCAGACTCCTGCAGCCAAACCCTCCCCTGAACTGCACTGTAGGCTCCTATTAGTTCACGAAAAGCGATTGATGATTTATTTATACAGACCCAGCCACGCTGGAGGAGAATGAAACTCTAGAGCCAGAGGAAATATCGGCAAGGTCAGGAGAGAATCTCGCCCCACCGAGAAGGTACAGACTAACGGAACCCGAGGCTACCAAATGAGTGATGGGGTGCTAGAGGCATGGCGTCAGATTGCAAGGCACGCTGGGAAAAGGCAACAAAGGAGGTTCAGCAGTTCTCTAGCAGTGGAACTACTCCATTGATACGTCACAGATATGCATGGGAAGCAGATCAATTCCATCCCACGCTGCTCTGCTCCAGAGCTGAATTCAATGCAAAGCTCAGACTCGTGTTTCCCTTTGGCCGTACTCATCCCTTACAAGCGTCTCTAGCATTTCTTAAACCTGGATTCCAAGAAATTGCTTTCTGTGAACTCACTAGGGCTGCAAGAAGTGGGTGAGTGAGTGATGAGCCCCAGATCCTGATCTGTTCTCACTCAACCCCAGGGCATCCAATTCCCTGAGCTCCTCCAACCAAAATTGCAGACTTTTTCTGGAGGGAATCTCATTAGTGCTACTGTCTGGCTCTGATAAGTCAGCAGTGGCCTGGAGTCAGGATCATATATCACAGGCCAGAGGCAGACACGGGGACCAGCTGGACACGGGGGCAGGGCATGTGAAGCCTGTGTCCTGCCCCTGCCCCTGCCCCTGCCCCTGCCCCTGCCCACTGGGTAACACATGTTGGAAGTGCTACCGAGCCATCTTAAGCTACCTCCTCTCTGGGATTTCCCCAGAGAATTCTCCAGCTCTCCCTGTCCTACTTCACATTCTGTTATCCTAATAAACACCATAACCAAAGCAACTTGGGTAGGAAAGTCTATTTTAACTTACCTTTCTGGGTCACAGCTTGTCACCGGAGGAAGTCAGGACAGGTCCTCAAGGCTGGAACATGGAGGCAGAAAAAGAAGAGACTACAGAGAAACTCAGTTTACTAATAGGCTCCCCCGGGGTTGCTTGGATACTTTTGCTTTCTTTGTTTTAATTGAGATAGAATTACATTGCTTCCCTCTTCCCTTCCCGCCTTCCAGCCCCCTCCTAGGTGCTCTCCCTCCAACCCCATCCACTGACGGCCACTCAAGTTGATAACCTCTTTCTCTTTTATTATTATTGCTATGTATATATTTATATAGACAATAATTGCAGGAAACTAATTACTGCTGGGAGAAGGAGAACTAACCTCACCTTATCAATTGTCCAAAAAGAATGGTCAGCCATTAGACCATATACACGCCAACAAAACAGACTCCATAGGCTATGTTTATGTATTTTGCATACACATACAAACACACACACCAGTAATAAAAGTCTGGCTTATTTTTTACTCTTATTTTTGAGATTATAATACAGTTAACCTCATCCCCCCCCCCTTTCGTCCTTTCATGCCCTCTCATACACACCCTCTTTGCTCTTTCAAACTCATGGTCTCTTTGTGCTAACTGTTGTTACAGTCATCTTGTTTATATATTCCAGAATCACCTGCCCAAGGGCGGCACTGCCCACAGTGGGCTGGGCCCTCCCACATGAACCACAGATCAAGGAAATGCTCTACAGAAATGGCCACAGGCCAATCTGATGGAGACAGTCCCTCAGGTTAGACTCTCACTTCCCAGGGATGTCTAGGTCTGTGTCCAATCAACAGAAACTGTGGCACCACCTTAACATCTTCAAACCAATATTCAGGATTGCTCAGAGCTTACATGTGCTCCAAGGCGCCCTGATTCAAATGCCAATCTTTCCAGAGAGACCCTTGCAGATTCGCCAAGAAACAACGTTTTAGCAGCTGCCTGGGGATCCCTTGTGCTGACTGAGCTGACATCTAAAGCTGACCGCTGGGACGCACTTGTCACCCTCACTTATTGAGCGCTGTGCACAGCAGAGTCAGCCTCTCTCAGTTCAGGAGGCCAGCGCACGAGAGTGCACTGTCCCCAAGAGGGCACGTGCTGCCTCCTCCTGGCTGCTCCTAGGAACGCCCTGTCCCCAGGCAAGCGTCTGTTTCACTGCAGTCTTTGCTCTGATCCCCAGCACACAGGCACTGCACTCCGCCCTGCTCCCAGGCCCAATCTCAGAAGGCCTCATCTTGCCGTGGTCACAACTGTTTTAATAAGGTCACAATGACAGTTCTGGCAGAACCTTAATATATGTTACTGCAGAGCAGAACTCAACGGTAGTAGATCCGGGACAAAGAAGATGAGAGGTCCATTATCTTCCTCCTGCTTCACGTCTCATCCTAGCTGAAGAAATCCTTTTGGCCCAAGCAGGTTCCTTCACTTCTTTCCTGCCGCTAGGATAAAGCACCCTGACAAGGGCCCCTCGAGAGAGAGGTGTTTGCTTAGCTCACAATTCAGGGTACAGCCCATCACAGCAGAGCAGGCAGGGCAACAGCAGGGCTTGGGAAGACTTGTTTTGTCACATCCACAGCCAGGAAGTAGAGAGCAAAGCACACTCACACTCATCCTCAACTCACTGTCTCTGTTTAACACAGCCCAAGAGCCCATTCATAGCTAAGAGGGGACATTTGCACATGAATGAATCAAGACAACCCCCAGGAGTGCCTTAAACTTCTAATCCTCCTGCTTCTACCTCCACAGTGCTAGGGTTACACATATGCATTGACCATTCTTGGATGGAGACCTGGGTCTCTTATCATGGAACAAGTATGAATTTATAGAGGTCAGGGGCTCAGAGCATTGCCAAGAAAATGAGGGAACACAACTGGAGCACTCGGGGTGTCGTGATCTGAAGTTAGAGTTATTGAAACCTGAAGTTCCCCTCTGGCAGCCTGTTCCTGATAAGCCAGCTGCAAGGGAGAGGGGAGTCTGTCCTTTTTGTGACCCCCCCCCCACGCTCAAACCTCTTTCTGGCATAGCAGTGTGAGTCGACTCTGGTCCCCAATACAAATCACCCAAGAATGAACACTTACAACACAAGTGCGCAGCTCATTCAGGAATAGAGCTGCAGCGAAGGCATGTATTACATAAAGTCCAGCATCGTTTATATGTGGGTTAACCGATCTCCTCTCCAGCTCTGAGCAGCATAAACTACAGAAAACCAACTCTTTATGCTCAAGGAGTTAACATTAGGATTTGAAGGGAAAAAAAAAACATAAGGCTCGTAATTGCGAACCTTGGGAAGTGGGTAAGGCCTCTTGTGAATGTTGTCCAATGAAAAAGCATTCACTCACTTAAAACATTAGGAAAGTTTGGGGTTGTATGATTGTGTGTGTGTGTGTGTGTGTGTGTGTGTGTGTGTGTCTCAACTGTATGGCTCTTTGTGGATGATGAGATTGAGTTGCAATGTCAGAAGGTTGAACATATCTTGAAGCTAAGCACAGAAAGGCAGCAGTCATTCCTGAATTGCTGGGCACCCAAGGGGGTCTTCATTTGGGCAGACTGGAGAGGAAACCCCCCTTCTTCCTTTTGGCATCTGGAGTCCCAAACTAGAAAGATCCAAAGGCCAGGAGAAACCTGGATCAAGACTAAAGTCACCCAGAGATTCTTTTCTCAGATGTTACTGTAAGAGCGACCTGAAGGCTTTTATTTGTATGCCTTTCGGAGGTGTTTCCTCATCTGCTTTGTTAGGTAGAATCAGGAAGATGCATTGAAATGGATTACATGTAAGCTTTTGACCTAGAGTTGCATGAAGTTATTCAAGGACAAAAGACACACACTTTCAAAAGGAAATCAGAAGTGATTCCTGGTAGTAGTTACCAAATGGCTTTCTCTCTTCAGAGGCCTTCAGGAACCCTGGCAGTAAAGGAGTATCACAATCACCCCCCTCTCCTGTCTCTCGCTGTCATGGTGAGTCCTGGGAACTGGTTCCCCACATCAGGTGACCCCCTTTGCTTCCCAGCAGCTGCTGCAGACACCACATCTCAGGTCCAGGTTCAGGAAACCATCCCGGTGAGTGGAGTTGGAACAATTTATTCCTAAAAGAACTTAGCTGTAAAGAACCACAGCTGAGACTCTGAGCAGGGCTCTGCAGGGAGCCTCATGTATACCCGGCAGCAAACGCTGATGACCCTCACCAGGTACCGACTCTGAGATCAGGGTACTGCACTATGTTCGTACTTTTCCAACAACCTTGTGGGTAGAGACTAGCATCCCCCTTCCTAGGGAGGAGACATCTGAGATCCAGGGAGACACCAGCATGACCCCCATGGCTCTAAAGCCCCCTGCACACAGCCCGCCCTCTGTTTGCTGTGAGCTTTGTGCATATGAGGCTTTACTTCTTATCTACAGGCTTTCCGTACATTGAGGAACACTGAATGTATGAAACCCCAGTAGGGACTTTCGTGTCCCACTTGAGATGGAGACATTCTATATAAGCTTCTCTCTTTCCTTTTAGCCAGGAACAGACACATTTGTTTAACAGACTCCAGACCACAAAGGCTTCAAGGTGATTTAAACAAGAAGCAGGGGTGTGTGTGTGTCATCTGTGACCTCTCAGTGGTAACACCTACTCACACGTGGGACTTCAGCTAATGTATCAGCACGGCCCCATCCCCAGGTGACTCACAAGATGGGGAGCTTCGGGTCACCCACTGGGCATACAATGTCTTCAACACTTCCTAGCTGGAAAAGAGAGCTTCCACATCTTGTTGCAGATGTCTCAATTAGACTGTGTGCGACAGGCTCAGCAACTTCCACAATCACCGAGTGTCACCGGGGTTCAATGTAGAACGTGAAGGGGAGGTCAAGGCACAACTGCCCGTGGTGTAAACATTCACCAATTAATGATGTTAGAATCAGATGCTCGAGGAGGTGGGCTGATGCAGGCAGGCCCGAGGATCCACTGAGTATTACAGTTACACCCAACAGCAGAGGCTTCTGTGGTACCAAAGGAAATCCAAAGGAACAGGAACCCCTGCTCACAATCCATTCCTTGTTCCACCAGCTCTGTGCTGGCTACGCACTGAAGCACCCTTCTGCTTCCCTGCATCCCACCGAGGTACAAGGTTCTCCTCGACTGAGCACTAAGGATTTGTGGCTGTGATCACATTCCCGTGGCTCTTGGAGCCTCTATTGGTTAGGAGTCTTATCAGTTCCTGTGTGAAAACTGAGCACAAATCACAAGACAGAAGCCTTGAGCTAGCACAAGATGGAGCAGTCTCCACGATGGCAGTTGACCTGGTGGAAGTTTGGTTTCTCCAGGACGGTCTGTGCTGTCGTCAGCGGCGATTCCTCCCATCCAGCTGGCACAAGGACAAACCAATAAAACAGATCACTAGGTGGAAAAAGCTGGCGCTTCCTCAGCCTGCTTAAGTCAATGCGATATGATGGAGCTGTGCACAGATCTGGCTCCAAAGGGAGAGAGGCTGAACGAAATTGAAGATCAGCTGCTCACGATGAAGCCGGAGGTGAAGATGGAGGGTTTCAGAGCTCCTGATTCCTCGGGTTTATAAGTAAAACACCCGGCATCTCCAGCCATTTGAGGATCCGCTACAAACTCCCTTCTCAGAGACTGGCAAAGTTGGGAACATTTGGTCACTTACACAAGGCGACTCGGGGCAAAATATTTGTAGAACGTGCACACAGAAACAGAAGGAACAGGATTGGTGGGGCCAGCAAGTGGGTGAGGGGCTGGGTAGGGGGCAGAAAGCAGGAGAGCATCCCTGGACCTTGGTCCCACAGACACAGAGGAACTGCAAGTGTAAGCATACAGATGGCATGCTCTTCTTAGGTGCCTACCATCGTAAGGAAGCAACCACGACATATATGTATTCTGTGTTGTGTGTGTCAGCTGAAGAAAGAGGGTCGGTTCAAGGGTTCAAGATGAACTTTAGACTCTCTAGCAACAGGGAGGAACAGTTTCTATGAACTGAACCTCCAACGGTCATGCAAAAGGCTTACTTATTGTTACACTAACTTTTTTTTGCATAAAAC